GTTTGATACTGAGAAATAGTCAGAATATTATATCCTGAATCTTGATGTCAGAGTCACTTGGGCAAGTATGGATCATTTCTTTCCTGGCTGAGCAAAATACTCCTAACGGAAGTCCGTTTCTAGGAGTGGAGAAGAATATGAAGAGTAAATGACAGTCTACAGGAAGGCACCATGACTCCATCAATTTTCGAAATGGAATCATAGGGGAGACCTAAACCCCAAAGCGGAGCTACATCCAATATCCATAAACAGCCTTCCAAAAAACTCTTGTTCCTTTTCATTTGTTTTTGTTTCTTTTTAATATCACATGCAAATCACTTACAGGAGAAGTAGGAGCTATTCATACAGCAGATATCTCCCACACGTTGTACATAATGTCAGTAAAACTGGCATTAAAATACACACTGATAACAGCCTGAGAGAAGAGGCAAAATTCCCTTTACGTGAGAAGCCACACGTACCTTCTGTGAGTGCACAACCTGAAAGACACAAAGGAGCTGAAAGTCATGTTTCTCTTCAGAGCAAACAGAATACAGATTTTAGAAGTCTCAGTTTATCAAACACTGCCTCATTCTTCCTACTGAAAGTAGGTGTTTTATGATACTGTGCAATTTACTCTACTACAGAGATTTCTCAGTGGAAAGCCTGACGAAATTCTAGATGTAGAATGGTAACCCAGGGACAAAGGTCCAGGAATGGGAAGAGACATATGCTAATACCTAGATCTTTAGGTCTGCAATTGTGCCAGAAGAACACCTTGTATAGAAGCTATCTATAGATGTGGCTCATATCATAACACTTGCTCTTTTGATTTGTGATTTCTATCTGATACAGTATGGTAAGAGATGTTTTTTTACTCACCAGCATCACCATGGATAAATTTGTTTATTGAGGCTGTTGTTCCATTCTGAAAAAAATTGGCAACACACTCAAAGCGATTCAGAGGGTTGAACCACTCCCAGGCTGGCATCCTCAGTCGGCTGGTCAGCGAGTAGGTGCTCCCATTCTGTGTGGAGGACTCGTCTGTCCCCACCCCTTCGGTCCTTTTCACACCATTCACCCTCCAGACCAGAGTCAGGTGGTCAGGGTAGAAACCAGAGGCCAGGCACACCAGCGTGGCCTTGCTCTTCTGCTGGATCTCCTGCTTTGATGGGGAAAAGATGGCCACCGCTGGAGGTATGATTTCATCATTCTCGCCTGAAACACAAAGCAACATGGTCCAGAGCCTCCATCCCTCTGTTCAGTCAGAACCCCCTGGAAATGGTCCTGAGTTTGTGCCGTGTTACTCCTGAGATACCTGGCCTTTTAACTGCTGTCTATTGGACAATTCATGTCTACTGGATATGACATACCAGGACAGTGGAAGGATTTCTTTTTGCTCATCACACAGAATTTTCACGGGTCTGGCCACAGAAATGCACAAGCACATGAAATTCTTGTGTGGTCTCTTGCCAGAAGCATACAAATCTGCAAAGAAACTGAGCAAACAGATGGGCAGAAAAGTCCCCAGTTTTGCTGTAACTATGGCCTGTATTTGTGACATTGTATTTAAAGTTAAGGGAGTCTCTTATAAGACACAAACATCTTCAGCAATCTGGGTTGCATTCCTGGAGAGGGAGTTAAGACATGGTGGTCATTGCAGTGTTCAGAATTATACTGGCATGGGATATGCTACTTGGCCCCCCATCTATGAGATGAGTTGGAAGAAAGGAAGGAAGGAAGGAGTCAAGGAAGGAGTTGATCCTTCTCACTGTCTGAAGTGAAAAACAATTGAGGCATATTGGGGTAAAGGGTAACTAGAGGTCTAATTGTCTAATTGTCTAATCTTATAAAACATATGTAATGGTAGTTAAAACAAAGACTGGTTCATAAGAGACAAAGAACAGAGCTCTATTCATGCTAACCTTCTAAAGATATACATTAAATAGTTTTGTTGCTACCTTAAAGCCAATTCTACAGAGGCCTATTGTTATTTGTCACATATGCTCTACTGCTTGGGAAACTTTTCTGCTTGCTTGGGAACTTTTTCTGCTGTATTTGCAATGCTAACAGAACTTCAGGCTAAGGCCTGTACACCTTTTAACTATTTCCTAAAAACCCTCTAACTTTAGGGATTCCAACAAGGCAGGTAACGTGAATCTGCAAGTGATGGGTTTTGTCTTGGGTCTTAACCAATGCATTTTTAAGAACATTAAACATGATTTTATGTAATTTAATTTTTTGGTTATTGTAGGTATGAGAAGCTCTGATCCTAGGCTACACACCTTCCCAGAATGATGCAAGATTCCATAGACTTGCAAATCAAATGTGTTTCCCTGTCCTAAAGTGTTTAATACCTACTTGTATGATAAGTAAGGAGAGAGTTCAGTCAGAAGGATGTTCAAGGCAGACATGAGAAGTTACTCAGAAGCCAAGCAGTGAGTCTAAAAGACAGGGGTGTTTCCATATACTAAATCAAAATGCCTTTTTGACCCATCTAGCATGAGAAACCCATGAGGTCTGTGAGTGCTGCAGGAAAAAGGAATGTAGGCAAAACAATGGAGCCAAAGAGAAAATTATTACTCTGGGGTGGTTTTTTTTGTATGAAGGCACGGTGAATTGTGGACGTTCTTCCTGAGCACTCTCCCCTCTGCAGAGGGAGGGAGGTAGCAGAATGAGCAGAAATTAATATCTTGCAGAGATCTTGTCCGCTAAGTCCTCGTGTTTGCATTCAAATGATGCCTTAATTGTGACCACCAGAGCTTGCTCTGCAAAGATCCCCAGGCTGCTTCTGTATGAGCTTGTACAGACTTTAGATGACCTGATATTAAATAGAGGTAACTCCCTAGAGGGTTTAGCACTGCTCTGCTTTCCACTTCATGGGTATGAAGAGAGCTTGATCGCTCCTACTTCTCCCTGCCAACACTTAGCGTTATGATTTTTTTTCCTATGCTAGAAGTATCTCTGACAAATTCTTTGGCTCATAGCCCTAACGGCTAATGAGTGAAGAGATGGAAACAGATTGGAGGGCAGAAAAGTAAAGTATAAAACTTACAAAATAAAATTGCCCCATTAAAAAAAAAAAAAAGACAGGTAAAAAGGGATACAGAAAGAATAATAATGCTACTAGGAAGAGTAACAGAATGAGCAGGTTAGAAATGGAAAAAGAAGACTGCTAAAAGTCAAAACTTGAAGAAGTGTCTGATCAGCAGCCCTGTCAGTCAGTCTAGTCTGATCAGTCTGATCAGTTTAATCTTCTATAAGGGTCGTTTTCAGTCCCAACCTCTATAATATTTCCTGGGAGAATAAAAGGAAACAAAATTGTTTATCCCCTTCTCCCTTCATGAACTTCCCCTATATGAAAGATAAATGCTGCAGACACAGAGATCTCAAAATCTTTGCTTTCAAATTCTACAGTTTCATTGTAGCACATCTCATTTTAATAAGGAAGCTATAAAGCATTACTCCCGTTCTCATGGCTGCATGAAAAATTATCAATATTAAACTTCTAATTCAGAATGTTCTTGTCCCCTAACCAGTATCACATAGATCAAAGAGATCTGCCTTCTTACTTACCTATGACCGTAAGTTTTGTCCCACTGCCAAAGAACAATTGCTCATTATTCACACCATTTTGCAGCTGCAGAAAAACCTCTCCTCTACTCCTAGATCTCTGAACCAAGCCTGTGGACTAACCCTCCCCTCATGTGGTACCAGCAAAAGAAGAAACACAAAGTACTGAGGTCTTCTCAAAAAAACAGGTCTCTAAGGGAACACCGCCAAAATCTGTGTGTCTAAACAGCTGAGGTTAACATCAGATATACCCTGTCCAGAGGCCTTTTGCTTTAGGCATAGGTGAATCAGTTCTTGGAGGTTCCACCATGTCTTTAGAGAACATTTATCTAGGGGTCATATTAGAATATTAGAAAATATTTCCCATATGCAGACTAAGTAATTTCTGTTTCTCAGCTAAATAACCACAATTCCTTTAAATTTTGTTCAACTGTTTGGGTATTTTTCATTTATAAGATAAATGCCTTTTTATAACATACAAAATAATTTCTAATATATAGCACAGTGTCTTGGTCCACTCTGCCATTCACAGAGGTTCCTAAACATGCCCCCCTTCCCTTTCCATTTCCCTTTCCCTTTCTCTGGAAGGCTTTCCTTGAAAGGAAGTCTCTGTTTTATTCTTTGTCCTCCCCTGGTGATGATTATTCACATTTGCTGCATAAATGCTATGATCAATGAGGGGTCAGCATATTCATTTTTACCAGCTCAGGCATCTCAGATAAACTTTGAATTTCAAAAAATGTGCTGATCATTTTTTCCTATGGAGATTGAATTTCACCGTTTTTTATCAATTTATTCTGTAGTGGCACAACGTGGCACAAATATCTGAGGAATCAATTCTTCCATAATTTCTCAGCATCTGAGCATCAGCCGTCTTTTCCCCAGATTTGGACAATCCAAATCCATAAATGTGGCTCAGAAAGAAACATTCTCTGAGAGCTCCTTCCCCTTGAAATGAATCATATATTCTTCTTCTGTGGTTTTCAGTGGCTGTTTGTCATGTATTCTGAAATAGTAAGACTGTTGTCCTTAATGATGTTTTTATCAACATCCTGGCAAGCCTGTACAGTGGAAAGAAACTGGTTGTGCAGTGCAGAGCTACTTTCCATAACAACAAGGACTTAAAAATCTGCAGTGAGATTTTAGGATTGCTTATTATAAAGTTAAGCATTTATTTTTGCCTTCTGTTTTATCAACCAAAAATGCTAGCACATGCGTTTTTCCTGGTTATCTGAGACAACACATTCTTTAATTCACCTTGGGAAGATCCAAGGTAATTTAAGCTTGTATCAGCTTGATTTAGTTTCCTAGACCCCTTCAAAGTGTAACTGTAAGTCAGTTCTTTTCAGAGAGATAGACAGCTTTTCACTCACTTGTCCTTAATCATCTCTAGCCCCAGCAGAACCAGCATTATAGAGAGTAGCTATACTTTTGAGGAATTTTTTGTACGTGTTGATTCATTAGGACAACTTTTTTTAATGTCATGCACACCTTATTTGTCCCATTCCTTATCCTCGTTCTTTCTAGGGACAGCTTTTAACTTTTTCTTTACTGAAAACACATTCATTCCCTTTTCCAAAATGAAAAGGTGTGTCCCTACCTAGAGGACCCAACTTATTCTATTCTCTCAAGTAGACAGGGTTACTAACACACACCAGTTTAATTATGATAGGGAGCATGGTAATGAAATTTTCTAAAGAGAAGACATGGCATTGGAAGTGAATTAAAAGAGGAAACAAAAATTCCTTACCTATTACTGTAAGTTTTGTGCCACTGCCGAAAGAGAACCCAGAGGTGTACACAGTGACAAAGTGATGTATCATAAGCTAAGAGAAGAGATGCAATGCAGCTGCCTTACTATAAGCGAAGCCCAAGAGATAATTTTTGGCATTTGGAATTCCAAGCATCAATCTCTGGGATACGGCAGAAAACCAGCTTGGAATCAGTTGTATAGTGTGTAGAATTCATAAAAGCATTTCCCAGATTTGTTTGATACTTTGTCTACATTTCACCCCAAGTTGTTTTTGCAACCTTTCTCCAATCTCCATGTTACATCAATGATTTCATCTGCCATTCTCATTTGGCACATCTCAAAAACAAGCAGACACACCCAAAGGTTGTCACTATCTAGGAACAGAACATTTCTACACCTAGAACTTGCTCACTGTCAGTCTTGTATTCCAAGCATTGTGACACCTTCTTTTCTATAACTTGTGAAGTTAATAATCAAATTATATGTGCTTTGTGGTTTTCACAGTCAAATGCACGTGGTTCACCTTTGGCAGGGAACTAAAACAAATCCCTTTGTTCCCCCTTCCATGGCTGGCCAGCTGTCTTGGACAGTCTTTCAGGATCCCCTTCAGTTTTCTGATAGGTTAAAATAATCCACACAAGGAGGGTCCAGAAGAATCTGTTGACTGGTCCCACACAAACCCTTCATAGCCATTAGGAAGAGCTGCAGTGAGACAGTGGGGATAGGGAATACAGGCAACCTTTGCTCTCATAGGCATGAGGCAGTCAGCAGATACTGGAGGATTATTTCAGAGAAAAAAGCCCAACACATTTCATGTAGTGCCTCTGAGAGATACCTGCTATATGTCAGAAATCCTTCCGTAATACTTGTATCACTTTAAGAATGAACCATTTTGTCATCCATTGCAAACATTGGTTAATCTGGAAAAAAATAATAATTCCAGCTTTGCATGGTTGATAGGCTTCAGGCGCATCTGCAGTCACAGTTTGGATTGGTGAAAATGAATTTCGATATCTCAGAATTTCCTAGCTGGCTTGCCACGGAGGGCAGGCTCAGTTCTCAGATGATGAAAGTAAGTCCCAGCACAGAAGGTCTGGTTAGAGAAACCAAGGCAGAACATGCCTGCTCTGCTGCAGGATTCTGTGCAGCTGCCTTCACATGCTCTGCCACAAGGCTCGTGCACCCTTGGGTTTTTGTAAAGGCTTCCTGGGGAATGTATCATCGTGGATCCCCCTGTCCCCACAATGATACAGTCTCCTACAAAAACAATCCCAGCCATGACTCCACCCCCTATTTTTGTTAACTAGGAATGATTGCCATGATTACTTATGCTAGTTTGGACTGCTGTACAGTTAATTTCCCTCACAGTAGCTATAGTGAGGTTGTGCTTTGGGCTTGTTCTGCAAATACTGTTGGCAAGAGAGAAATGTTTTTGTTATTGCTGAGCAGTGCTTACACGGCATTCAAGGACTTTTCTGCTTCTTATCCCCCCATGCTGCCAAGGAGGATGGTGGTGCATGGGAACTTGGGAGGAAGGACAGCAGGGAGAGCTGATCCCAAATGATCCAAGGAATATGCCATAACCCATGGTGTCACGTTCAGTATGTGAAAGAGGCGAGTAGTGGAAGAAGAAGGAAGAGAAAGATATTTGGAGAGATGGTGTTTGTCTTCCCAAGCACCGTTATGTGTGAGGGGGCCCTGCCTTCTTGGGAATGGCTGAACACCTGCTCGTCCATGGCAAGAGGGGGATGAATTCCTTGTTGTCATTTGCTCGTGTGCACAGTTTTTGCTTTACCTCTTAAACTGTCTTTATCTCAAGCCACGAGTGTTTCACTTGTGCTTTTCCAATTCTCTCTCCAGTCCTGCTGGTGGGGAGTGAGCAAGCAGCTGTGGGGCTTGATGCTGGCTGGGGCTAAACCATGACACAACCACAGACCACATCCTTCCTTTGCCATTGCTGTTTCTATGTGATAGTCCAGTCACCTCTTAGTGTATCCATTATTGCTCAATTTATAATCTCAAGATTTTTTTCTTATACTCAAAAAGGTAACACATGTATTGATTGACTTTAAATGCAGTAATTTTTCACTTGGTAATGATCATGGCCATGTTCATGCTGCTTTCTTTTCTATTCTTTCTCTCTTCTGTCCCCAGGATGACAAGCAAACCTCCAGCTCACAGTTTGCAATTTTTGGTTTGCAATGAGAGTCATTTGCTTACTATGGGCTGGTGTTTCTCTCTGTAGCTTGGTGTTGCTTGAGAGCATTCTCCCAGGGCTTGTGCCTCTGCCTATGAAAAGGCCTCCTCTAGGAGTAAGAGCAAGCTTTCATTTTGCAGACTGTCTGAAGGGATGGGAACTGATGGGGAGAGGTAATATTTATCTCCCTCCCTTATACATGACACAGTCTTGTCTCACAAAGTTTCAACACAAAGTTAGCAACCTGACCAAGGATCTGTAGTAAACCTGTTTTTAATACTGCTCTTTAATGGCTTCCTTTGAGTCTGTCTGGATATGAAAAAGAGACTGTAAAGCACAGGAGATAATCCCTCAAAACAAGGTCATTCTACCAGGAAAATCATAAAATATTTTTTCTATTATTTTCAGATATCAGTGAAGAAGCCACAATTTCTGATACAGTCTGTTTAGCTAGGAAGAGGTGTTAGTGTTCTAGAGAAGGGAATGAGAAACATAGACTAAGATCCAACATGTAGGACCAAGAGAGAGGACTACAGAACATGAGGTATCGGGCTGGTCATCTCGGCATGCTTCTGGGTTGTTCTCTCTTCTACAACCGTGAACAGAGTACTTAATCACCAATTATGTCTGTTTATACAGAACTTTTGTTTGTATATATTGAATTCTTCCAAAAAATACATTTAGGATTTTTTTTTTTGCTGTCACTGCCTAAATAATACAACCAATAGTGGAATATTATTTTCCTGCCTTGGTCTTAGTATATCTGTGACCTTAACACTATTTATTCAGGGACTTAATCAATTGGACTAAAATTCATTTAAGACTATTCTGTCTGCATCTCCAGTCTAGAGCTCCATTAGTGTACTTACTGTCACTTGCAGACTCTCTTCCACGAGGTGTCTTTCATTTAAAAAGAAGGGAGTCACCTCTCTATTAGTTTTGATGGAGTATGTGGTGCTAGCAGCTCCTCAGGTCATATTCAAAAGGCAATTTCCAAGACATGCCAGCAGAGACCAGTCTTGTTGCACCTTAACGTTTCTTTGTAAGCTGTCAAAAGGAAAGGACTTGAAGGCCATGAATTCAAATAAATGTGAGTGACAGAACAAAGGGGAGGGAGATCCTTGATTTTTTATTTCCAAGTCTTTCATAGGAGGCTTTTTGAGCTTTGGAGGCTATGCTGCCTAAGACTTCAGACAAGAAAAAACAACAATATGGAAGGAATAAACTTTTAATTATATATATTCTAACAATTATATTATTTTGGTGGGAGAATTTTACAGGAAACTAGAGACTGCATCAGTCATACCTGTCCTCCATTCTTTGGAGTTTACAGAAGAAGCAGCTGCAAAGAAGCAGGCCAGTCTACAGAGACTCCCTGAGCTTTACAGACTTGTTTTAGAGACACTAGGATGCTTTTCATAAATATCCAATGCTTTTGACCAGAACCTGATAAAGTTAGGAAACAGCTCTTCTTCAGGCCATATCTGTGCACTGAAAAGATATGATGGTGGAAGGAGGGATCTGATTAATAATTCAGCTTCGAAGACAGAGGCTGCTGCACTGCTCTGTTGCTCTCCAATTCAAAACATTCTGGGTCTATTGCCCCAACCTCTATGAATTCTTTTTTCTGCTCTTCCTCTTCCCCTCTCCTAACTGTCTCACATTTTTCAAAGGCTCCATCTCTCACTCAGAGAAGGTGAGGATTTTATCTTGGTGTTCAACCCTGTCGCTACACCGTGCGATCATTCGCAGCACAGAAATACGTGGCTGCATCCTGGGCTGTCACATTCTTGATTGTCATCAGAGAGTAATCAGTATTCTGTCTGGTTACTTCAAACTTGGCCTCAGAGTAACCATCCTCATAAGAGTTATGACTCCATGTACTACTGCTGACTATTAACTTCAAGCCATTTCTTGGAGGCTGCTGGTACCAGAACATATAGGCAAGGTTACTGTAATTCTGATAGCAGGAGATGGTCAAAGAGTGTCCAGGTCTCAGAATGATTTTTTCAGGCCACTGAGCAATGTAGGCTCCAATCCCAACACCTGCATTAATAGGAGATAACAAGAGAGTGAGGAGTAGGAGTACAGATGATGGCCAAAGGGGTCCTCTACCTTACAGTAGCCCTGCATGGCCTGGATGAGAGCCCTGCTGCAGATGGATCTGTTGTCTCTCACCAGGTAAAAGAGCAAGCACAGCAGCCAGCATGGCCCTCCAGTTCTCCCAGGACAGTGTGCTCCTGCTCACTGTTACACAAGAGCTAAGAGAGACCCATGCCCCTCCCTCTGCCCTGATTTGTCTGTCAGGTTTGGGCAGGGAAGAGAGAAGGGACTGTCCAGCTGGGATGCTTTCTTTGGTGAGCCAGTAAAAGCAAAGCTAAATCTTCATGTGGCTCCAAGGTCTGCTTTAGCTTTTCCACAAGTCAGTGTTCTGAGCTGCTGACACAAATGTGGAATTTCTCGCACACCAGTATATTGCTGGCTGAATGCTGAGCTGTCATTCCATGATTGAGAGGGTCTGGGTGTTGGAGGCCAGACAGAAACCAAGGATCAGTGGATTCGTAAATGATTTTTTGGACCCATTTATATCAGTGGCTATAACTTGGACCATCTTTGCAGAAGGATTTCCAGCAGAAGTACACCTGTACTGTTTCATTCTGAAGAGTTGTTCTTAATATCTGGAGCACAGTATTTCACAGATTGGATTTTGTTAGTCAGAAGCAGGATGTTAGATCAAGATAGCAAAGGCACAAAAATTGTGTTTAATCGTGTCTTAGTTTCTTCAGTTTTCCAGACAGGCATGCACATTCCCTGCTGGTTAATGTTCCTGGGAGCTGTAATTCACTTTTACAGAAATCAAGACATCTCCACCAGCCATTTTTTCTCACAACAAAAACCATAGTTAAACATAAACCTCATGAACACTCTGTTTCTAGCCTGCCAGATACATCCCAGATATCCTATTCTATATATAGAATACATTCTGTTCTATTCTATACAACTCTCTATATAGAACCTATGCCATTCTCCATTCTTTTCTGAACATATAAGATTCAAAATTATTATTGCAACTGCTTCTTTTCTCCCTAGTACTTTTATAAAATACATTTAATTTCAATGACCTTCAGTAATCCTGATATTGCATCTTGCAAACAATTGGGATACTTCTGAGGTTCTACCTTTCTCTCTTTTTTCTCTTTTTCTCCATTTTTCTTTTTAAGGGCCTATCTGTGCACTGAAAAGATAAGACATTTGAAGGAGGAATCTGGTTAACGATCTGAACAAATCTGGACAAGCAATTAGACAAGGAGAGTAGCTGTTTCATGAGAAACTTAGAACAGTGGCTTTTTGTGCAGATGCAATTCAGGCTGGCCAAAGAAGTACTGCATGGGAGATAAATGTCCCTTAGAGCTGGAAGAGGGAACTGTAATCAAAGAATTCACAATGGCAATAAACCTAGAGAGCTCTGTGGTTTGCTATTGCCACTTGGAAATTGCACAGCTGTGAGCACTCAAGAGCCATTTCATTAAATTGTTGTATGTTCAAGGTGACTGATAAGTTTGTTATCACAAGGCCTAAAAATTGCCTTTGCCACTCAAAACTAAAAGTGCTGTGGAGGTGAGAAGTAAAAAGGATCCTTCCTCTGTTGTATTACCAGAGCTGAAAATGTGGTTTGCAGTGCTTATGAAAAACGTCTGAGCTAGGACAGTAACATGCTTTTCAGGAATGGGTAACTTACTAAAATAGAATTTAAAAAAACAAAAAACAAACAAACAAACAAAAAAAACCAACCAAAAACTCAACAAAAAAACTCCCAAACCAATACAAAAAAATCACCCCAAAGCCTCCATCAAAGTGTTTATATTTCTTCATAATTCCACTGTGAACTAGTTTTCCTGAAACTTTCACAGGGAATTTGGATCAGCAGTAATAATTCAATAATTCCAGACAGCATCAGTGTGAACATGTTTTACAAAGATGATGTCTTCAAAAAGATCAGAGGCTGAAGAAAAAAGGAACTCAGTATGTCTCTGGTATGTGAGAAACAACACTTTCCCAGTGCTTCCCTGCTGTTTGTCTGGAGCCTGACATGAACAGGCAGGAGATCATGGACCTGAGGGTGTTCTGAGGAGCAGAGGAGCATTCCTTGAGAGCAAGAAGTGGTGTGTTACGTTTGCTGCTGAGCAGTTCTTGAAGTCAGGAGAATATTGGCTCCAAGGGTGTCACACATCTGGATTTCCCTAGCCCCCAACACTTTACTTTCTTTCAGAGCACAGGTAGGTTTATGTAGTGCGGTTTCTCAGAAGACTCGGATGCTGCCATGAAACTGAGTGATCCATCTTGGCACTGCAGGAGCCTTCCAGCAATGCTGGTGAAGTGGAGTGTGAGGATCTTTTACAGGACCTGCTCCCAGCTGATTCCTGCTCCTTGCTCTCACCAGCTATTCTTACCACCTCCCACTCCTTTTCTTGCTGTGATCACACCGTGTGTGTCACTTCCGCATACCCATATCCAGCTTTGTCCACATCATGGAGCAGCACATTTGCTACCTGTGATAGCCAAGTGCTTCATATGCCATGCCCTCCACATGAGCACATGAAACAATCAATTGGTTCATGCTCAGTGGTAGGTATGCAGACTGTCAGGGCCACAGCATAAAAACAGAATCCAAAATACACAGGGTATAGCCACAATTTTTAAAAAATACCTTTTGCTCTTTTATGGGCTGTTTGCCTTCCTTTGGAGAAAAGGTAAGTCCTAGGTTTTGCAATAAAAGCAGGAGCATGGACAGGCAATGGCAGGTGAGGGAACCCTAATAATACCCTACCCTCAGCTTTTCAGGTCTATCATGGAAGAACAAATAGTTCATCAAAAGTTCAGCTCTGCAGGCAATGGAGACAGAGGCACAATGGGAGGAAATTTCTGCCTTCAGCTGTTTCTCACAAGTAACAGCAGCTCTTTGTGGTTTCTTTTCTCTGCCTATGAAGTTTTGCCCTGAAGGGATGCCTGGGTCCAGCTCAGAACTGTATGCATTCCTGTGGCAGGGAAGAAAGGGATCCTGCAATTAAGTAGTGTGTGAAGCAGGTGAATAAAATGATGCAGTGCACACTGTTGCTCGTAAAGATGCCAAGGGACTTCCACAATGGGCAGGTATGCCTGGTCCCCTGGGTATGTTTTCCTCCACTGTTACTGGCCCCATCCTCCTAAGTCCATAATCAGGGGATGAGTTCTTCTCACACACCAATCAGTTTCTCATTGTGCACCTCAGTTCTGTGTAGATCATGACTATGGGGAAGAACTTGGAATTCTCTGGCAGCTCTGTATTATTTTACCGGTGCTGTGGGAGTATCTGTGGAGAACTAGTGCCCTGGGACATGACTGTGCTTCTGGAGTAGCAATCACCAGAAATATCTGCTGCCTTATCTAACCATACCAGCTGTGCCTCAGTTCTCTATGCTGACCTATGGGTTTGTATTTCTGTCTTTGCCTTCAAAGACAGAGGCTGCTGCACTGATCTATCTCACTCCCATTCAAGATATCCTGGGTCTATTGCCCCAACCTCTATGAAGTCTTCTTTCTGCTCTTCCTCTTCCCCTCTCCTAACTGTCTCACATTTTTCAAAGACTCCATCTCTCACTCAGAGAAGGTGAGGATTTTATCTTGGTGTTCAACCCTGTCGCTACACCGTGTGACCGCTCGCAGCACAGAAATACGTGGCTGCATCCTGGGCTGTCACATTCTTGATTGTCATCAGAGAGTAATCAGTATTCTGTCTGGTTACTTCAAACTTGGCCTCAGAGTAACCATCCTCATAAGACTGATACCTCCAAGAAGTACTGCTGACTATTAACTTCAAGCCATTTCTTGGAGGCTGCTGGTACCAGAACATATAGGCAAGGTTACTGTAACTCTGGGAGCAGGAGATGGTCAAAGAGCCTCCAGGTCTCAGAATGATTTTTTCAGGCCACTGAGCAATGGAGAGTGTAACCCCAACACCTGCATTAATAAGAGATAAGAGAGAGTGAGGAGTAGGAGTACAGATGATGGCCAAAGGGGTCCTCTACCTTACAGTAGCCCTGCATGGCCTGGATGAGAGCCCTGCTGCAGATGGATCTGTTGTCTCTCACCAGGTAAAAGAGCAAGCACAACAGCCAGCATGGCCCTCCAGTTCTCCCAGGACAGTGTGCTCCTGCTCACTGTTACACAAGAGCTAAGAGAGACCCATGCCCCTCCCTCTGCCCTGATTTGTCTGTCAGGTTTGGGCAGGGAAGAGAGAAGGGACTGTCCAGCTGGGATGCTTTCTTTGGTGAGCCAGTAAAAGCAAAGCTAAATCTTCATGTGGCTCCAAGGTCTGCTTTAGCTTTTCCACAAGTCAGTGTTCTGAGCTGCTGACACAAATGTGGAATTTCTCGCACACCAGTATATTGCTGGCTGAATGCTGAGCTGTCATTCCATGATTGAGAGGGTCTGGGTGTTGGAGGCCGGACAGGAACCTAGGGGCAGTGGATATCCTATTCTGTATATGTAATATATTCTATTCTGTTATATACAGTTCTATATATAGAACTTACGCCACTCTCCATTCTTTTCTGAATATATGATTCAAAATTATTATTGCAATTGCTTCTTTTCTCCCTAGCACTTTTAATGGAATACACATAATTACTGCCAATGACCTACAGTAATCCTGATATTGCACCTTCAAAAACTCTGAGATACTTCTTTCTCTTTTTCTTCATATTTTGTTGTTATCCCCTCTCCCATATTTGCCAGATGCTCTATTGAGATTTATATCTTCCCTAGGCATCTAGACATTTATATAAAAGGCATGTTCTTTCTATAAGCCTGGCAATATTGTACTTAGATCCTGAAGCCTAGTTCCTGAATCCTCCAGGATTCAGAGCAGTGGAAATCTCAAAAATCTGGCAGTGAATGTTCCCTGTGTCACTTTTTAAATCCTTATTTTTAAGGGAGTTGACAGAAATTGCCTGAGTAGTTATAGCTTCTTCCTGATCCGGAATGAAAATGCATTTTATATGATGTATAAAAGTTTTGTATGATTTCTAGTGTCAGGAACACTTTGCATCTAAGAAATAGGAGTTTGGCCAGTTCTTGGGTTTTCTCAGGAGAAATTATTCCATAACAGTGCTGCCATGAGGTTGAACCCTGTGCTGGAGATATTACAGTTTCAGTGACTTGTCAAGAAATTACAGGTGATATGGACCTTTTTGGCTTTTTAATTACCTTCCATAACTTTTAAATTTTTCTTTGAATTTTTATGCTTTTTTCAAAGTCAATAGATCAGTTAGCAATAAATTTGAACAAATTTAATATAATTCCATATACTTTTATGTTTCAATACTGATTATTCTTTGATGCATATTTTTAGCTTTTACTCCTCACAGACTTTTCTTCTTTTTATGGAAGGTTTATTTTGATTTTACTTGTTCTTCATTTTATTTTATTGACATTTTGCCCTTTCACCTTACTGCTAGGATGGGACACTTTTAGATGCTTCCATGGAGGCTGCTGAGACAGTTCCATAGGACACTGCTGCTTTGATCAATGTCCCAAAATGCATGCCTTTTGCACGAAGACAGTAAGGATTTTTAGTCTGATTATTGTCTGTCGTGCCAAACCTGTTAAAAGCCTTTTTTCCCAATAGTAATCAGACCTTAAATCCTGGAGGGAGAAACTGTTTCAGAGACTTGATGGGAAATTAAACAGATTGTGGAGGCTGTGGGAAGTAATTCTAAGATTGTTCTGTGTAAGAACTCTAAGACAAGGAAAAAAACATTTCAATGCAGTTGGGCTACACCTTCTTCTTTAATCACTTATGTTAGAATTTACTACTCATTCCAGGATGAAGACATTTTATTCAGATGAGCTTTTTTGTCTCAGGAAACAAAAGATGATTGCAGACTTTCCAAAGAAAGGAACCAACTGGAAGATGTAACTCAGGACCTCTAGTGTGTCTTTTGGGAATTGCTTAATATGTTACTGCCTTTTGAAGAGTAGCTAAATTGACAGACCTTTCATTTTTCAGTTCAAAATGTCTAATTCTTTCAGTCTGTTTTCTTCTAAGATTAAAGATGAGACAAGGGGAAACAAAGAAGTACCAAGATAAAGGCAGATATGATCAATCTTCCCAAGTAAGACCCTGAACTACTGCACTCCAGGAATAATAGATGCAGAAAAGTGGAGGAATACAATTATAAAATGGGCCATTCACAGGTAAGCAGGATGCTTGTGAGTATGCTTGTCTGCCTATGCTTTGTACTGGCTTAGCTCAGTCTTACTAAGCCCTGTCTTACTAAGTTCCATTTCTAAGTATTTACCTGAGGGAGGAGCTGTCTATTCTATGTGCATGTGTTTTGTGTCTGGACATCTATGGGCTAGGAACTGGAGTCAGACAACAGGCAGCAGCAGCTGGAGAGAGCAGACTAGGTGAACTTAAGCAGCAGACACTGGAGAAGGGCCACAGGCTAGAGGGGCCATGTGTTCTCTGTGCTGGCAGCTGGGGAGAGGAAGGGTGTGCAAATGTGTGATCACTAGTGAACATGAAGCCAGACTACCTGGCAGGTAAGTGAGGTGACCTGGGCTCCAGGTGTGTGTCTCTAATGACAAGAACAGTGAGAGGTGGCAACAAGAGGAAGCAGGAGAGTCACAGACATTTTTTTGAGAGGAAGCTGTGTGAGAGGTGCGTGTGTGGACATAATGGCAACTGGACTGCAGCTCTAAGGGACTCAGAGGTCCAAGATGCAACTAGGAACTGGAACTGGTATAGAACCGTGATCTCCCACTGTGAACCCCAGTCAGAAAGGGATAAAGGATTAGGCCATCGGTGTTGTTCTGTGGGTGCATCTGTGTTGATCCATGTGTTTACCTGTGTACAGATATATGTATGCTTGGTATTTATCGGTATAAATACTGGGGAGACATTCTCATTCTTACTGCCAGCTGGGCCAGGGAGCCTGGAGCTGTGGTAGCTTCCCCTCTGTCAGCCCAGCCTAACAGTGAGCCTTGGTGAAAAACCATGAGATCTCCTCCTTAAGGGTAAAAGAGACCATTGAAGAGTTATGACAATGAGGAAAGGGCTGAGGTAAGCTGCCCACATGGAAGAGAACCAAGGGAATAAGGAAAAGATTCCTGCTGAAGAGTGTTTAACATACACTGGTAACAGCAAATACTGGCTTAGCAGAGGTTTATGCTGGATTTGGAAACCAATGTCATGAAACAAGAGCACCAGGCAGGTGGTCTTCCATCTCCCAAATGTTAGAGAAAAATGCCTGTTGCAAAGCAAGGAAGGCACTGGAAACCCATTATCCGACCTACATGTAGGCTTAGTTCCTAAAGTCTGGACTAGAATTGCATCCAAGACAGTGGTGACTGTGAGCATCAGATGGCTCCGTAGTTTTAGGGGATTTAAGGCATCTCAGGCCAGTCCCTTTCAGCAGTCTACACTAGTACAGGAAGGTCGTCCAGGGCCAATTCTTTGCAAACAATTTTTAGAGGAATCCTTCCTCCTCAGGCTTGTCATCCCTTGCCCAGTCAGACCCATGTTGCTCCTTTCTTTACAGCTCTCACCCCCAAACAGTCCAGTCAAATTCTACTTCTAATGGAAGTAGCTTGTCTGCTTATTTGGTGAAAGTTCCTTCTCCTCATCCATTCTATTTCACCGTGCCAGCCTTGCTGGCTGCCATCCCTAAACTTCTTCCCAAGTTTTTCAGACCATCTGACTTTCCACATCACCACCTTTACACTTTTCCCAGTCCTTCCTTGTCTTCTTTTTTGTCTGTCCTAAACTCTCCATCCCATATTTTTATAGCAAAGAGTCAGCTTGTAGGTTTAGAGATGTTAAAATTACCCAGTTTGTATAGGCTTGGGGTACATAGACCCTCCAGGGAAGGTTCTTCAGCTCTCTTGCAGATCATGTGCTGCATGAGATGGATTAAATAAATATTGTATTTGCAGGGAGCCCCGATGAAGGCAGGAATGATGCATCTGACTCCGTGTTCTCAGAAGGCTAATTTATTACCTTATTATATAATATAATATTATATTAAAAAATACTATACTACACTATACTAAAGAATACAGAAAAGATACTTACTCAATGCTAAAAAGATAATAATGAAAACTCATTACTCTTTCCAGAGTCCCAACACAGTTTGGTTCCCAACTGGCCAATGAGTCAAAACAACTCACACCAGAATCCAATCAGGCAATCACCTCTGGGTAAACAATCTCCAAACATATTCCACACATGAGCACAACACAGGAGAGGCAAATGAGATAAGAATCGTTTTCCTTTTCTCTGAGGCCTCTCAGCTTCCCAGGAGAAAAATCCTGGGCAAAGGAATTTTTCAGGGAATGTGAAGGCCACAAGTAAATATTTTCAAATTTGATGTCCCCCTCTGCTATGTCCTTTCAAGGCCCTTCCTTCCTGGTCCAGCCATTTGCTGAAGATTACTGGGACACAGTCTGTTTCCAGCCTCAAAGGCTGAGGCTTTATATCCACATCTGGCTTAATGTGCAACCCCTTTTCTTAGGATTTTCCTACCCTTCTTCCTAGTACCATGCTATTTTCTTACTTTTTTATTCCCTCAGTGCCTCTGGCCACAGTCATCCAGAATTCCTTCCTAGTTCCTGACCCCAGGCACTTTGAAAGAAGTTATAACTTTCCCTCTTCACCCCCCCTAAAACTTAACAAAAAACAGAATGGCTGCAAGACAGTGAAGAAATCAGAGAGGACATGAAGGCTCTGCAGAATTGGACACTGTTGGACACTGGATGTTATAGCAAAATGTAAGAAACCCCATGTGAAATATTTTTTGACAGTACTAGAACAGCGTTCTCCAAAAATTCTTCAATATACACCCATATCAGAGAAGTATTTTTAAACACATACACCCAGTATATGTACATTTAGTAGCTGATAATTAGATATGTGTAACACTAAAGTTCTAATGCTTCCCCCTCACACCTCAGTGTATCATCTTGCACCCCACTTTGAAGACTTTTGCACAGTAACATCATAAGCCAGCAGCCTGTCACTGAATATGGATTTCAGATGCAAAGTCTAGAAGATGCACAGTCCTTCAGCAAACACTCCCCTGATCCCCAGCAACTGAGGAGTTGATGTTCCAAGTCCTAAG